AACAGCGCAGCTTTTACATTGTTTAATTTGGTACTTACAGCACAGCACTCAGAGTATTTCTCTTCTAATATAGTACTAGATATCTTGATCACTTTATAGTCTGTACCTTTTTTTTCCATAGATTGCTACGCTTGAGAGATGTTACATTTGTTTGGTTCTCAGGCATCAAGTGTTCGGATACACACAGGAAGTGAGGTTTTTCCTTCTCCAGCATGACTTCTGTTTCATTTATCTTCTTGGAAATGGATTGTATATTTAAATGTATCATTTTTAAGTTATGGATCAAATTCGTTGAACTGGATCCAGACGGGGGTTTTTCGTATATCGAATTGGGACGGTTTGTTTTTTGAGCGAAAAGAAATTGTCTTAACTCAACACCATGAGGCCAGTAACTGGAATTATACAATTTATTCAAGGATTCATACGGAATGCCTAACTTAAAATAAATGCGATTTCCATGAAACGTTTTGAGTTTTTCACAAACGGTTTTGGAAATATCTAAATATGGTCAAGAATATCATGCGATTCAATGTCATTAAACATAAATTTACTATTTTGTAGAAAAGCCTTTTTTCCAAGCCACTGAGTTTGCTGTTGGCATTATTTGAAAGAGTACCGGTTATAACTTGTCTTATCAAAATTTCTTTTAGTTGCAGTATATTTCCTTAGAGGTTCAGTAAATTTTATTTGATTGATTTCATTATTACCAGGTTAGTTTTTGGAAGGATCCATTTTCATCTGTTTGTTAGGTTCGTTCAAGATTTTTGTGGTTTGTTATTTTCGTGATTGTTTTTATCATAATGTTGTTCTTTCTGTAATTGTTTATTTATTGTGATTATTCTTTATGTATACATTATTATTTGTTAGTTTATTAACTAATTCTATGTTAGAATCTCGCAACATTACTGGAGTCTTGTTTAAGGTCCTCGCTGATTTTGAAAAGTTTGTCCGTTTCATGCTGCACTAGCTGTTGCACAATATGTGCAAAGTTTTCGCTTTCTGATTGTTTTTGTGACATATTAAACACTGTTACCAATAACTTTGCTTTTAGGTAACAAAAATAATTGAAATGTTCCAACCAAATAATCAACAGGAAAAAAGTCCCCAGAAAAAAATAGTAAGTATGATAAATATATAATAATAATAATAAACACTACGACAGTTAGATTTCTAGTCACTTGTCATCTCGCTCCCGCCAACTACACCACCGAACCGACTTTCATTCTCTGTTTTTAATTCCTGAAATTATTGTTTAAATTTTCATTATGGTGTTAAACATTATATTTAACATTATATAAAAAAAAAATGCAGTGGTTCAGAGTTCTGTCACTAAAAAAATATAACAGTAGTACTAGAAAAAGAAAACCTTGGGTAACTAAAGCTATAATTACGTCAATTAACAAACGAGACAACCTATACCAGCAACTATTAAAAAATCCAAACAACGAAGAGTTAAAAACTACATACAAAACTTACCGAAATAAACTAATTTCTATAATTAAAAAGGCAAAAAACAATTATGTAAAAGATCTAGTGTATAAACAAAATGTAAATAGTAAAACACTCTGGGAAGGCATGAAAAACTTAACAAATGACACCAAAAAACGGACAGATATACAATGCATTCTATATAATGGGGTAGAAATTACAGATAAGGCAACAGTAGCAAACAATTTTAATAAATACTATACAAACGTTGGTACAAGCTTAGCACAAAAAATTAAGCACTATGATCCCACATTCACCCATACTGAGCAGTCTTTTTACATGATGCCCACTAATGAACCTGAAATTGAAAAATATATTAAAGAACTCAAGTGTAACAAAGCTCCAGGAAAAGATGGAATTAAGGCAGAATTAATTAAACATCTCGCAGATTACATAAAGTCCCCAATTTGCTATATTTTTAATATAATATTAGAGACTGGGATATTTCCAGACCAATTTAAAGAGTCAATTGTAACCCCGATATACAAAAGCGGAAAAGAAACTAATGGAAAATTATAGGCCGATCTCATTAATATCGAGCTTCAGTAAAATCTTAGAAAAAAATAATTAAATCAAGAATAAATGCCTATTTAAAAAAATACAAATTAATTTCGGATATGCAATTCGGATTTCAAGAAAAAATCAACTAACGACGCAATAGCAAAATTAACAACAATGATGTATAATGCAATAGATGAGACAAAACCTTCGCTATGTGTCTTCCTAGACCTAGCGAAGGCTTTTGATACTGTTTCCCATGAACAATTATTGTTAAAATTAGAATCAATAGGGTTTAGAGGAGTAGTCCTCAACTTGTTTAAAAGTTACTTGTATCAAAGGAAACAGTATACAAAAAATTGAAAATGCGATTAGTAATTATGATATAATAAAATATGGCGTCCCACAAGGAACAGTCCTAGGACCCATATTATTTACTATATATATTAATGACATCCTCACAACACCGTCTGAAGGTACAGTGCTGTCTTTTGCAGACGATACAGCAATTTTTTACTCGGGAACAACATGGCAAAATTTAAAATCTATTGTAGAAAACGATCTAAAAGAGATCAAGAAACAATTTGACACAAAAAAAATTAACAATCAACTATAGTAAAACCTTCTACTTACCACTAACGTCATATAAACCTAACTTACCTGAATTTAATAAATTAGTAATTGCAGCCGAAAACGAAAAAATAGAAATTCATTCAGTGGAGAAAATTAAGTATTTAGGTATATACATCGATTCAAGTCTAAACTGGAAATACCAAATACAGTCAGTAGTGCAAAAACTCAGGGGTCTAATTTATAAATTTAAGCAACTTCGACAAATATTAAAAACAAAAGAACCTGTAACTTTATATAAAAGCTTAGTCGAATCCATAATAAGATATGGCATTGTGGGTTGGGGTGGAGTTGGTTCTGTTTACTTAAAACCTTTGGAAACAACACAGAAAAGGATCATTAAAATAATATTTAATAAAAGTATGTTATATCCAACAAAACAGCTTTTTAATGAAACGAAGTTATTTGACATTCGAGATATATACTGCTACACTATTCTAAATTTGCAACACCAGATGAAAACGAAAACTGCTATATATCACACACTCACGAAACAAGATCTAAGAAGCAAAATCTTCTGAAAGTTGAAAAAATGAGAAAGACTAAAGGACAAAGTTATTATGGATACAAAAATGTATAATATGCTGCCACTAGTCGTAAGAAATATGCCAAATATAGTGAAATTTAAAAAAGAAATAACAAAATGGATTATATTGCAAGATAGGTGTTTGTTCAGCAGGTGTTTTAACTAAAAATATTATTAATAAAATAAAAAAATCCTATGGTTGCGTGTGTCGTGATTATAATAAATGCAATAATACAATTTTCTACTCATAAATTAGAAATTATGAAAATATTTTAAGTTAAGTATAAATTTTCACCTGTGTGTATATGTGTGTAAATGCATGTACGCATATGGGTTTGTGTGCAAGGGTATGTATATGTGTGTATGCATGAATAAGTGTATCATATATGTACATATGTATGTATATATGTGCATATATGTATGTAGGTATGTATGTATGAAATATGTATGTGTGTGTGTATGTATATGTGTGTGAGTACATATCTGCTTTCATAATGTAGGTCACTCTTGTTCTTTTAAAACATCGTATAAATAAATGCAAAAATCGCACTCAAATCTCTCTACGAGTTTTACGCGACTAGGCTTTTATTTGTATCTATTGTTAATAATGTACATTATAAGCCACATACTTTATTGTAATTGTAATCTAATGTAATTGTAATCTAATGTAATTGTAATTGAATTATTCTGATGAACAATAAAGTCTATTATTATATTATTATTATTATTTATTTCTTTTTAGATTATTCAGTATTTAGTTACATGATTCCTGTAAAATTACTCTCAAAACATGCATTAAAATAAATAAATCTGATTGATGTTTATGATGGATGAAATAAATAAGGCCGTGACTTAATCTTAGGTTGAGAAGAACCAAACAACCATTTTTTATATCATTTTATTATTCAGTTATACTGAATAAATAAAATGAAATATTTTACATAAAATCATTTTTTAAATCTACCCTTCTTGAATTTCAACAAAGAAAGGATTAATGATAGAATTTATTCGTGCAACGAATATTAGGAAATTCCCTCTTGCTTTCATTTATTTTCTTTGCTTTTACGTCGATTTCTCTATTTAAGCGGCAGAATGAAATCACAAGGTAATATATTTATCTGTCATAAATGATTCCATATCGTGCTAAGCTAGACGGGCACAATTTCTCTTGGCGATGCTATCATTCAATTTCTCTCGTGAGGACGTCGGCGTTGCCACTAGGTACGTCGTGCCCATGATTTGATAAGATGACGAATGAAGTAAGGTCGCGGTCGGTGGTCCAGCGTAAGGCTACGTCAATTAATCAGCGTCGCGATGCCGGCTGACATTAAGCGACAGGGTTGTAACCCTTGCAGTGCAAGAAACTGGGCTGTCTGGCTAATAGACCCCCTGACACATTTATCAATAGTGTGCACATAGGGCTTACTTCCTGACTTCCTACCATATGTCACATCTAATAAATCGCGACATGTTATAAACAATCTTCGAAAACTTGCTTGCTTCATGTTACATTTCTTATATAATATCATACATAACTGATGGTGACGGGTGATCATATCTTTTCATTTTAGTATTAGTACACTAGTTAGTACAAGTCAGTTATGTTTTTTCCGGACATTTAGAATTCCCAAGGAGTTTACTTTTACAACTTGCACATAAGCCTTGTAACAAGACTGTTATATTTTTGCACCAATTCTTAAAAACATGTACGATTCCGGGATATTTTTTGTTTTAATGCAGTTTGACAAAAACTTGTAACAGTATTTACATCACTAAATAACTAATGACTTGGCTTTAGAAATAGGTCTAGGTCTCCAGAATGTTCTAAATATAAATGATAAGAAACAAAATTTTGTGTGGCTTCGTAGTCGAGTGGTAAGACCCCTTGCCTTTCATCCAGGAGTCCCAGGTTCGATCCCCAGTCGAGGAGCTAGGATTTTTTCTAAACCAGAAATTAAAACGTAGCATAATCGGACATTGTCTCCAAATGTGTAGCCCTCTCCCTCCCAAGGTACCGTGAAGTACGTTCAGGGATACAGGGGGGATACTATGGTGTTTAATTTAATTTAATTAAAAAAAATAACAATAATCAGAAGAAGAATCAGAATCAGAAGAAATATAAATATAGAGGGTGATTCTTAGTTATGGTAAAAAAATTTAACCACATGTGGAGGAACGAAAATTAAGGGACCTCTATTTTTTCGTTTTGAATTTTTTTGATTTTTAAGAGTGGTACAAGAATCTCTTCGGGGGACATCGGAAACGATTTTTTGCAATATTTCCGAAACCGCTTTACCGATCTCTTTCAAATTTCGTAGGTGACTAAAACATTATAGACCACATTTATATTTGATTCAATTGAATATTTAGTTGCTGTACAGCGCCGCCGAATGTGCAATTTGTTAATATATTTGGCCATGGTTTTTTACTGATTAATTCCAAAAAGTGTTGATGCACTGATTAGATGCAGATTTCAATTTCCAGCACTTTTTAAAAAATTAAATTTCAATGATTTAGATCAGGGCTACGAGGTGGCAACTTTTTGGGTGCCTCCGTACCACGATCTATCCATGGGATAATTTCCATGTAGCCATTGCCTCACTCCTAAAGAGAAATGTGTTGGGGCGCCATCATGCATGACCATATAATTACTCTTTGATTATATGGAACATCAGTCAGTATTTCAAATAAATAATTATTTAAAAAATTAAATAGTTTACGCCAGGTAAATTATTTTGAAACTCAAATGCACTAATGATTTTATTGCCTAATATACCAGCCCAGTAATAGATTTTAAACTGTACCTGAGAATGTTTCGCTACAATTCTTTTTGGATGTTTGTCAGTCCAAGAATACCTATTGTGTGAATTCAGTATACAATTTTTTGTGAAAGTGGATTCAACGCTAAGTAAAATGTCTGATACGAAACTATTCTCTTCCTCGTATTTTTTTTGTAAAATCCATCTACAAAAATTTAATCTTTTCTCATAACCCCCTGGTAAGAGCTCTTGCACTTCCACAATATGGATTGGATATAGTTGCTGTCTATGCAGAATCCTCCAAAGTGTTGGATGAGATACATTTTCTTGCATAGCAATTCTTCGTGTGCTTATCGAATGCTTATCGAATCGTCTTGCACAACAGTCGTCAATATCTTTTCTTCTAATTGTATAGTATCTATTCTTGCTGGCAGGCCGGCGTCTCTATTTTGATTTTGAAATGACCTTGTTTCTCCTAAACGGCGGTGAATAGTGGAAAAAACTACTAGAAGGAACTCTTCTCCCTGGATACAATCCTGCATAATGCTGTTTTGATCTCAATGCATTTCTGTTACATTTTCCATACACAAAATGCATATCTGTAAGTCCGATAAAAGAGTAATTCTCCATTTTATAACACAAAAAAAATAATTTGTAATATTAATATTGAAATTGTAATAAATAAATATAGGCACTTATTCTTTATTTGACAACTTGGAACGTTCTTTTGTATTTTTTTTTCATGGTGACTATGATCCTACCAAAGAATTAAACTTAGCGTATTTAATGTCCTGAATTTTTATATTACCTACTTCTAGCGGTAACATTTTTTGAAATAAAATTTATAGGTGCAGCTAGAATCTGATGTTTTAAAAAATTTGTTTAGAGATAGATGCAGTTTTCTTAATTACATAAATAAATATCATAGTGTAGGAATATTATAAATTATAAATCTGAAAATTCAAAACAGGGTAATATATACATGTGAATAAATAATTATTATCAATATTCTTTCAAATTATTCTCTTTATGAAATGACTTATAATTTGATAAAAATTGAAACATATGATTGGTAAAGATTACTTTAGTGCCTGGGTGATAATATGTACCTTTGTGTGACTTTACCTACGGTAAAAACTGCTTGATCTGTTTTAGTGATTTTGGGTAGAGTGGTCAATTTAATATTAGAAAAGGCCATTACTTGTTTGACCAAACATATCCGGACATTTAGTAAGTACATATATAACACGTATACCTTTTTTATTTAAAATTGTATCTAACCAGTGCATCAAAACTTTTTGGAATTAATAAACAAAAAAACCATGGCTAAATATATTTATAAACGATACATTCGGCGGTGCTGTACAGCAACTAAATATTCAATTGAATCAAATATAAATGTAATCTATCGCGTTGTATTCACCTGCGAAATTTGAAAGAAATCGGTAAAGCGGTTTCGAAAATATTGCAAAAATCCGTTTCCGATGTCCCCTGAAGAGATTCTTGTACCACTCTTAAAAAACGAAAAAAATAGGGGTCCCTTAATTTTCATTCCTCTACATGTGGTAAAATATCCCTGTATAATACGTGATATAAAAACAAATAAATTTATAAATCCAGTTGTGGTAAGAGGAACCCGAAAATCATTGACGTCAATAATCGTGTTTCACTTCTTGCCAGTCTGAGCAGGCAATGTCCCCAATTTAAACAACATTTCAAATCATCCGATAAGAAATATCAGAATTTGTTATAGTTGTTCTAAAGAAATGAATGACCAAATAGTTTTAAATTCGATAATCAAAAGTAAGGCGGCTATGTGGGATGACTGAGATGTCCTAAATAGGGTTTCAAGGGAAAAATCACATTTGATGATTGCTTACAGCTACGAAAGTTTAACAACATACAAGTTTAAAACATCAATGACGTCTGAGGTTCAAATGCTACAAAAAAATGCAATAAAAAATACAGGTCCGTATTTAAAATAACGTGCGATGGTCGCGAAAATACGAAACATATTATAAAAAAAACTTTTTACGCCAAATTGTAAAGGATGAAAAACGCCAATGAAAAATTGTTTTTAGTTTTCCGATGTCTCTTCAAATAACACCAAGAAAAATTAAAAATTTTACTTTTTGTCAAAAATCTCAAGAACAACACGAGATATTTTCAGTTTCTCAATGGCATATTCCTGATCGCCAAATTCTGCAACTTTGCCCCAATTTAACCGATGCTGTGTCTATATCTAACCATTTTCGAGATCTCTGTAGTGAGAAGCGAATTTGTTACAGCCTGTATAGTTTAATCTACTACACATATAATTAATTAACTTCTCTCTAGAATAAGATATTTATCCTGATAAATTAAAAAATGCAAACTTTTGTACCTTTACATAAAAAATGGGATACTAACCTAACTACAAATTACAGAGAGATTATTCTATCGTTAAGTGTATCTAAAACTTTTGAATTAACTGTTAATAAACATAGTTTTATCTTATTAAATAACCAACATGAGTTTACAAAGCATAAAAGTCTTGACACGGTAATTAGTGATTATGTGAATAGTGTTGTAATTGCTCTCGATATGTCATAGGTGGCATTAGACCTTTTTGTTGACTTATTGAAGGCATTTTACTTCGTACACTATTCCATTTTACTGTCGAAATTGGAAATATATGAGATTAGAGGTGTAGCTAATGGTTTAATTCGTTTTCGTCTAATCGATTGCAACAAGTTACAGTAAACAACAGTGTATCATTCTTAGGAACTGTCAGTACTGGAGTTCTTCAAGGATCTATCATGGGGCCAACCTTATTTATCATCTTTATTAATGACTTGCTTAGTTATACAGAATATCTAACGTGCTTGACGGTCTCTATGCTAATGAGACCAATGTTCTTTTTCATTGTAACTATTAAAGAAGCTAAGGCTTGTGTTGTTTTAATTTATAAGAGAATAAATGTATGAACCACTAAAAACTATTACAATGGTGTTTAGAACACCACAATCCTGTCTTAAAATAAGCGATACCGTTATTTTGGATGATAATAGTTATCTTAGTTATGTCGATGATGCAAAAATATTAGAGGTAATAATTAACTGTAATTTGAAATTGACAAGTCATACACACGGTGTCCGCTCTAGTTAGCAAAGACATGCTATGATTTAGCAGTAACATACAATTACTGCAGTCCTTTAATTTTAAAACTGTTGTACTATGCATCTACAGACTGCAACAAGCGGCCATTAATATGCCGCAGACTAGTATCATGGAGCGGAACAGGTTGCTGGATGATATAGAGAATCACAGCATCCTAGGAATGCCCTCGGATACTATGCCTACCATGACCAACTACGAGCTGACCTTCAACATCCTTTCTCCGGAAAGAGATGAGTGGGATCGGAATAAAGCCGACCTACTGAGGGCAGACGGTTGCTGGTTTGTAGACGGCTCCAAAACTCCAGAGGGGACAGGAGCCGGTGTACATAGCTGCAGACCAAGGCTGAGGATATCTTCAAGCCTAGGTACTCATGCAACTATTTTTAGGCTGAGGTTCATGCCATTGAACTGTGTGTGAGAAGGCTGGAATACAGGGGGGGGAGAGAGGTATGGAACTTTTCCTTTGAGACACTTTCATGCATCTTACGCGCAGATCGATAAAAATGTTCTCAGATAGCCAAGCAGCTATAAAAGCTCTTGGCTCCTACCAGTGTAACTCCAAAACGGTATGGAATTGTCAGAAGGCTCTAAATCATTTGAGCAAAAACAATAAAGCGCCTCTGGTCTGGATCCCTGGCTACTCTGGTATGGATGGTAACGAAATAGCCGACTCCTTGGCCAGAGAAGGAGCGGGATCACGAATCGTCGGACCAGAATCGATACTTGTTATATCTTTAAGTACTGCTAAGATGGCTATTTCAACCTGGGCTGAAAGGAAAACTCTCCAGTATTGGCAAGAGTTATCAGGATTAGTTCATTCGAAGGCGTATATAAAATACCCTTTGAAATCAAGAGCTAAGAAACTTTTAGAGTTAAACAGGGTAAACCTGAAAACTCTAACAGGCCAATATACCAGGCACTGCCGACTAAACTACCACCTGCATAAACTTGGCCTAGAGGAAAAAGCCGAGTGCCGTCTATGCCTGGAAGATGATGAGAAAGCAGACCAATCTCG